GGAAGAATTAGAAAGCAGAAACATTACAAAGGAGCCAGAACAAAGGAAGAGTAACCAGGTGGACAGCAGATAGTGATTGACATTGCATTTAAATTTTTGAGTATTGATTTGAAATCATGGGGCCAAAAGAGAGTTTCAATTGTGAAAAGTCCAAAAAAAGAAACTATTAGCACAGAATTTATGGCTACATCTAACCAATTCAACTGTAAATTGATGATATCTCATTGCTAGTCTAGTACTGTACTTAAATTCATAAAGTCTAGGTAGCATATGCTTTCATGGTAATTTTACAGATGAGCTCTTCATGCTCATCTATAAAATTACCATGAAAGTATTTATAGAAAAGTTACAGGGAGGCAACTTTATAGTGGTGGGAAAGTGACTGAAGCTGAGATTCAGATCAGAACCGATAATATGGCTGATTCTTCTTTGGATTTTATCAAGGATCTCTAGATATATAGAAGGAGCACCAGACCAAATGCGGCAGATGAAAAAAAATATTTGTATAATTTATAGAGAAGGTATTGGGGAAAGATCAAACATGATAAGCGAAGATTTCTTGCTGAATGATGCTCCGTGTTTGAGTCATCCAGCTGGAGTTGATAGCAATTAAATGAAGCTGTGTAAATAATCAATGTTAGACAATCAGCGAGGTAACTGGGCATATATTACTTTTCAGTGTGATTACCATTTTGTTAATGATGCAAAATATATATATATATATATATATATATATATATATATATATATATATATATATTCACTTTCTTTCCAATATACTTAGAGAGTAAAGTCAACAATCTGGGAAGGATTTCTTCTGAGCGTTTTTCCCTGGCACCTTGACTACATGAATTTAAGTGTGATATTAGATTGGCAACTTGGCATCACCATTTTACTATTGAACTAACTAGAGGTAACTGTTTGTTCTAGTCTAACAGTTTCTTTTCTTGCCCTTCTCACCTATGGAACTCCCTTCTGATTTCTTGCTTTTGTACCACTAACAATCAATTGCCATCTTCTGCCTGCCTGAATATTGTTCCTTTATTGTCCTTTTCTTCACTAAAATCTTCTCATTCTCTTTCACTCCCTGTAACCCCCTGCATCCTAGTGACATTACCACCTTGTTTGGAGTGTAATTATTTTAAAAAAATGGAGAATGTAATTTATTATGTAGTTGCTTCTAAATAGTTATAGTTTATTTTAGAAAGTTCAAAGTTATAGTTAAAATTCTTTGGATAATGCAACAATATATCATTTAACTGTTAACCTTCATTGCAGTAGCAACTATAATGTTGAAAACTAAGAAATATTCTACAGAAATACTGTAGTTAGTCTTTATTGTGAGGTTAAAGGTCACAGTCATCAATAAAGAACTACAATTTCAATAGTGATTCAGAAGGAGAAGTTGGAGAGACAAGTCTGAATTTCACTTGAGTTTCTTACATTCACTTACTATAAATAGGTCTCATCATTTTACAGTTGATCTAGCTAGATGCAACTGCCATTTCTAGTATAACAGTTTCTTTTCTCGCACTTCCCACCTGTGAGACTTCCTTCCGATTTCTTGCTTCACTAATAACTACAATTTTCCAAAATTTAAGTGCAACATTAATTGCCATCTTTTGTTTTTTTTTTTTTTTTTTTTTTTTTTTTTTAACCCTGTTCCTTTTTTTTGTCATTTCTTCAATCCTCCTCATTCTCAGTATTCTCATTCTCTTTCACTCCCTGTAATCTTCTGCATTCTAGTGGCATTATTGCTTTGCTTCAAGTTTAAAGATTAAAGAAAAAAATAGCAAATTTAACCTTCTGGTAGAGGTTGGGTGATCCATTTGAAGTCTCACAGAATTTTGTGTTTTATTCTCTAGAACAGATTCTAGACTGCGCACATACTCATGGTGAAAATGTAGCTGTTCATACAGTTCTCAGGAGATCACCTTTCCTACCCAGTCATACCTATTCTTGTATTCTTTCTAAACCAGTATCTTACATTTGATGATCATGTGGTTCATTGTCACATCTTCATCTCTACACAACCTACTTTTACTCTTTTCTTACATTTTTTTCTATTTTGGCTTTTATATATTTTGTTCCCATGTCATTGTTTTGCACTCACTTTCTCTCTTGAGGTTTCTTCTACATATCCATGTTCTTGGATCTTGTATATCTGCTGTATCATCTTCTGAAGTGTCCACAGAATTATCTTTCTTTCTTTCTTTCCAATTTTGAATACTCATCTTTGTGTTTCCTAGGTTTCTGTTCTTATGTCTGTAGTGCAGGGATTGAACTTGTGATCTCCAGGAAAACAAATATGATTAGCCACAAGGCCATGTGTCTCTTGGGTTTTGCAGAAAAATCATATACTCTGGTTCAGTGAAAGAAACAGACAAGCAACACAAAGGTAAATAGAATTTACTGATATAAGATATCCCCTAAGCATGAAAGTGAAATAAAAGCAGCCTATCTCCATGTACTGAATAAAGGGTTCAGTTCAAAGTTCTGAGAAGGTTATCAAGTACAACTGACACCTGAAGAAGGCCAGAGTGTAAACAACTGAAAGTTATGAATATAACAAGCTAGATGAGCCTGAACAGAATGGTATTTAATTTTTATAGTTTCTTTTTATTGTGACATTACGCTAGCCTTCAGTTTAAAGCAGCTTTAAAAGAATTAAGATAAAAGTAAGGAAAATGCTTCATCTAAAAAAAGTTTGATCAACTTAAGTTTATTAGTTTATCTTAAAGTTGATAGAATTGTTGAGATTCTTTTATTCCAAACTCTAACAAAATATTGTAGTTACTTTTAGACTTAAAAAAAATATGGCAAACAATGATTTCATGCTCACAAAAAAAATGGTGTGTCAAAAGGAAAGTTTTTCCTCTGACACCACTTTTATTTTAACTACCTTCACTCCTCAGCAAGGTTCATTGTTTTAAAAAGTAATGATTAGAACTGCAATAAAACCTAAACATATGATGAAAGTGAATTTATACATTTTTTGTTCTTGAGAATTTACAACAAAAATATTAAACTCTATTTATTTATTAGATTGTTTATTTACAAGAATAGTTTTATATTTACAACATTCTAAAAATTGTATTAAAACTAATGCACTACTGAGTAGTGAGTTTGATTCTTACTAGGTGTTCTATACTTATACAACTTTGCTTAGTAAATTATTTGCATTGGGTTTTTTATAAGTTGTTGTTTTATCCCCCCAGACAAATTATACATATGGGGACTAATTAGGACTTCATAGAGACTTTGAGGTATTATAGTGACTGTAGTAAGAATAGTAAGTAAGAATATGATATTTTGGTATAAGGTATATTGTAATATGTTTGGGTCAGTAATTGTGGCTAGGTAAGTTTAAATATAAGAAAGATGAAGAACAGCCTTCCTCCTTCCCTCTTTTGGCCTTGTGCCACATTTCTTGTAAATTAGAAGAATAAATATCAAAAGATTCATTTACCTCTAAGGATATATGCTGGACAATTTCACAGGTTAAACATTTCTGGTAGCAGAGCATAGGTGACAGCTCACCCATTTTCTATTTGATGAAGACAATAGTTGCATCTTATTTATCACAGTTTCCACATAAATATGTTTTAGTTTTTGCCAGTAACCTTTCCAGCACAACTGACAACTCTCATCTTCTTCCAAGAAGGAGCATTGTCTATTAAAATTACAGCATTTTCCTTCATAGATTTTTTTCTTTGTCATCTCCAAGAGTTATAATTCTAATTACTACTCATTAATGATAATAATTTCTCTTATTTTAATATTTCTACAGTATTGTATTTTTTTTTTAATTGAATTCACCCCATGAAAGGCAGTAAAGCCACTAAGACTCAAGGCATTACTGTGTGTGAAAGAATTAGAAAACAGAAACATTAAGGAATTAGAACAATAGAAAAGTAATCAGGAAGACAGTAGATAACAAAATTTGGGACTGGAAAGCATGGCACCAAAAGAGAGTTCCACTAAGATGCAAGTGGTTACTGAGTTTGAGAGAGGATGAGAAAAATAATACCTTATTAAGGAAAGAGCACTAAAAGAACAGGAATTGAAAAAACAGAAGATAATGATTGATATTGCATTTCAATTTTTGAAGATCAAAGTTGACTTGAAAGCAAGAAGCCTGAAGAGAGTTCCACAAGCGAGAAGTGAAAGTAAAGAAATTCTTAGCACTGTCTTACCATTTCTATTGTAAAATGATGAGACCTAACTTGTAATCTAGTACTGTGCTTAAATTCATAAAGAAGAGCTCATCTGAACAATTACCATGAAACTATTTATAGAAAAGGCACATGGATGCAACCTTATAATGGTGGAAAACTAACTGAAGCTGAGACACCAGATCAGGACCAATAATATGGCTGATTTTTCGTTGGATTTTATCAAGAATCTCTAAATATTTAGCACTGGTCCATATGTGGCGGCAATATTCAAAACTTGTGTGAATGGCAGAATTATAGATATGCAAAATAGATTCTGGCAAGAAAATTTGTTTAGCATGACACAGTGAACCAACATTCTTCGCTGCAAACTTAGCAATGGCTTCAATAATTATTGTTAATATTATTGGTATTATGCTATTATCATTCTAATATTACTGTTGACATTAATAGTTATTGTTACTAGTATTAAAACAATACTGCTCTATCTGTTATTATTCTTATCTAAATTACTACTAGTAAATAGTAGTAATACAACTACTACTATTATTCAGTTATTTATATTTTTATAATTAGTATCTTCTGTTTATTTTTATTTTCTTTCTCTGTTAATCAGTGACTGTGATTCTATATTCGGAAGCAAGATTAAGATCTGACTTCATTAATTGCTGACTATTAATTTACTTTATATGTAAGGCATTGCTTTGAGGAAGCAAAAATAAAGGAATTTAAGGTGGGTATGGGGTTCTTTTGTTTTTGCCAATTTTTTTTAAAGTGTTTTTGTTGCTACAGGCCATCTTGATTGATTAGAAGAAAAGTGAAAAGTTAAAGAATGAAGAGCAAGTGACGAGAGAGAATAATATAAAAAACATATAGAAGTTGGTATATTGAGGAAGGTGAAGGAACTGAAGGTGGGTGGTAGAAATAAGGACAATGAAGGAGAGTGAGTATGAAAATGTGAGAGAAGATAGACAGATTAAGAGAAAAAGAAGAGTTTATCAAACTGTGCTTCAGATGAATAAAAGGGAAGAAAATGGTGAGAAAACTGTGTTAAAGGAAAAAAAATAAGGTATGCAAACTGTAAAGAAACAAAGGAAGAATGGTGGGTAAGCAGATTGTGTGAAAGAAGGAAGGGAGGAAGGAAAGGAGAAAAGGGATGGAGGGAGGAAGAGGAAATTAGAAAGAGAGCAGTGCAGAGGGTGTAAAAGATGTCTTGGAACAAAGAGTGATAGACTAAAGGAATTGAGAATGATAACAGATAAAACCATAAAAAATAGAGAGGAAGATAGATAAAAAGAGCAAACTTTAAAAAAAACAAAGGAAGAATGACAGGTAAACCAATTGTGTGGAGAAAGGAAGGAAGGAATGAAGAAAGAAAAAAGAAAAGAAAGAAGGAAGGAAGAGGAAAGAAGGGAGAAGTGCATAGGGTGTAAAAAGCATCCTAGAAGAAAGCAGTGATAGTTGACAATCGTAAAAGATAAAACCATAAAAAATAGAGAAGATGATAAATAAAATAGAAATGATAAGAAGAGCAAATTATAAAGAAACAAAGGAAGAATGATGGGTAAGAAGGAAGGAAGGAAGGAAGAGAGGGAGGGAGGGAAAGTGCACAGGGTGTAAAAAAACATCACGGAACAAAGGGGCTATAGACTGAAGGAGCTGAAGATAGTAAAAGATAAAACCAGAAAAAATAGAGAGGAAGTGATCTAAAAGAAAAGATGTTAGAGAAAAAAAGAAAGAATTTAGTATTTTGGATAAAAGAAAGAACAAAACTAGTGAGTAGCTGAAAAAGGGTGTAGTGATAGATGACCTTTTGTCTGAAAAAAAAAACAAGTTTGTTAAGGAAAGAAAGACCGTGAAAGAAGCAGAAAAATATTTAAAATAAGATAAAGACTTATAGAGAAAATAATAGAAAAACAAGAAGAAATAGTAAAAAGGGAGAAGAAACAAATTGAATGCAGTTGTAGAGAGATTTGATATAAAGAGGAAGTCAAAAGACAGAAAATGATAAGGATGAGAGAAAAACTATAGAAATAAAAAAAAAAGTGAGAAAAGCAAAAGGGGATTAACGGTAAACATCAATCAGAAGAACCATGCTAAAAAGAGAGAAAACTAAATAAAAGAATTTGGTAAAAAGGAAAGCGAGAAATAGTTTTGAGAGTGGGATACTATGAGAAAGGTAAGTGATGATTTACAGAATAAGGAAAGTTTTATCAAGAACAGAACAAAAAATATGCAGCAAAAGAGGAGAGTAATATATTGAAAAGAAGAAAAGGTAAGAAAACAGAGAATAAAAGAAAGATTTTGACTGTAAATCTCACTCTTCTTTTTCATACTATCTCTTATTCACCTATTTCCTATTGGCACATGATAAAAGAAGATTAGAGAAAGTGAGCAAGAAAAGAGGAAAAAGAGTATGAGAATAAAGAACAAGTATAGAAAATAACATGTGCAAAACATGAAAGAGTGAAATTCACATATGGTTAAAAATGTAAAAAATAATTTAAAAATAAAAAGGAAGAAACAAACAATTGAAAAGAAGAGTGGTGAATAGGGAAGGACTGAAAAGAGTAGGGATAAGAGAGGATTGAAAAGAGGAGTGGTGAAAGGAGAAGATTGAAAAGGGAAGGACTGAAAAGAGTAGGGATAAGAGAGGATTGAAAAGAGGAGTGGTGAAAGGAGAAGATTGAAAAGGGAAGGACTGAAAAGAGTAGGGATAAGAGAGGATTGAAAAGAGGAGTGGTGAAAGGAGAAGATTGAAAAGGGAAAGACTGAAAAGAGTAGGGATAAGAGAGGATTGAAAAGGGGAGTGGTGAAAGGAGAAGATTGAAAAGGGAAGGACTGAAAAGAGTAAGAATAAGAGAGGATTGAAAAGGGGAGTGGTGAAAGGAGAAAATTGAAAAGGAAAACAGTGAAAAGAGAGGATTGAAAAGAGAAAGAAGTATGTAAAGGATATGCAGAAATGGAATCAGCTAAAGTAAAAGGCGAATCAGTCATGGAGAAAAAAAGGAAGGGAAGAAAGATATAAGAAAGGATATGAAAAGGAATAGTAAAGAGTAAAGAATGATAGAAAGAAAAATTGGTAGAAGAAAAAGTATGCTTTTGAGAAAGAAAGAGAGAAAATAAAAGCCAATAAAGAAATTAGATGTCTAGGCAAAAAAACCTTCGGAGGAAAAACAGGATGGCAAAAAAAGATGTGAAAGAGAAATAAAGTTGCAAATATTGATAGGAAGGAAAATTCTACATAGAGAAATACAGGTTGACTAATAAGAAAAAAGCTTTAGGAGTGTGTGGGTGGAAGAAAGAAACACATTAAAAAAGATGAAATTGAAAATAAGCAAAGAGGAAAAGAAAGGAAGTGGAAAAGAAGAACACACAGAAAATGATAAAAGTACTTTCTAGTAGAGTAAACACAAGAATAAAAGATAGCGTAAAAAAGGGAAAGAAAAGAGAATAAAAAGAACCAGCCTAAAACATAGCAATCAAAAATAAATGAAATATCTGAGAAAAAAAAGAGAAAGAACAAAAAGGAAAGATAGTTTAAAGATCCAAATAACAATGATATGATGAAAGAATTAACAAAACATCAGAAGATAGAAGAGAAAAAAAAACACAATGTCGAAAAGGAAGGAAGGAAAGAATAAAATGATGAAGAAGAAAAACTTTGATAAAGATCAAGAAAAATCAAACAATGGATGAAAGCAAAAAAAAAAAGAGCAAGCAGAATTAAAATAAAAACATAAAAGGTTGAGACAAAAATTTGGAGGTGAGCTATATTGGGTAATTCTGGCTTAGAAGCTGATTCTGCCTTCTGGTAGATCATGATTATTTCTATTCTTGCCTACAGCCAAAGCTACTTCTTTAAAATAAATAAGACAAACTAGAATAAATTCAAGCAAAATAATAAAAAAAATCACTTTAAAAACAAAAGAAAATACTCGTTCTTGTAGTTTCAATTTGGTGGGGGGATTTAATTTTTGAATTCAAGCATTTAAACAAAACCAAAGCTCAATGAAAACATTGTTAGATCAAGCCTAAAACCCTCTGCATCCGTTTCACATCGATTTCAGAAAAACACGGCAAGGAATAAATTAAAACAAAATGAAAGAAACAGAAGAGATCAAAACCGTTTTAAAAAGTCCTTCCTGAACCGCAATTCATTTTTTAAACTTACGCCTAAGTGAACAAAGATTAAAATAAATAAACAACTGAATATATACATAAAAAAAAAAAAAAGAAAGACTGAAAGAACTGTAGAGAAAATGGGGTGAGTGATGTTTGGGGAAGCATGTGGTGGACAGAATGGAATGGTTGTATGAAGAATAATGGTCTGTATAATCGGATCTGAGAGGAAATCAAAATGGCAGAATGGCTTCTCTATCTTTGTCTGTTCTTAACCACTGACACCCCCAGAATAGAGATTAAAGAGATTAACTTGAGCTTAAAGACATCGGATTATCAAACAAGCAGTCTTGGCAGACTAATCATTTGTGAAACCAGACATTGGATACTGACCCTCCTCCCTCCCTCTCCCTCTCTCTCTCTCTCTTTATTTCCTTGCTTATACATATATACCCAACTATTTCATATCTAAAATATAATAAGGATAATTCTTGTTTTACAATTCTCTCAGGGCTGGATTTAGGCTTTAAGTGTCCCCTGGGTTAATAGAATTTGAGGGGGGGGGCTCTTCATTACACATGTTAACCACTGCCCATGTCTATAAAAAAAAAGATATATACTTCTACATGAAACTACATTACAAATCTACGTGTATATAAAAAAGATGCATCAAAATCTAAATTGGTCTCTTGATTCAGGCCCGTCGAATTTAAAAGATCCACTTCAACTAGAGGGACCCAAATACTCTAAATTGTTTAAAATTAGTTCAAAATAGTCCCATTAAATCTGAAAATAAACACATTTCCTGTGTTATTACATCTTCATTTCTTTTAATTTTATCAGGAAGTCAAGACTAGAGGACCCTTATAGGCCTCTCTAGTCTTGGGCTCCCTGGGTTGCAGTCCATAGAAACTCATATGTGAATCCAGCACCGAATATTTCACTTTTCTTTCAACAAGGATTTTGTAGTTTTGTTGATTCAGTGACAGTAAGTTTCATTAAAACTCTTAGAATAAGCATAAAAAATATATTACAAATTGTATATAAAACAAAAAGGATCCTGGCAGATGGCCCTGAAATTATACACAGAGAACATACATTTAACAATATTTTCAAAATTACAAATCATATGATTCCAGAAGTGGACATTATAAAATGACTTTTTGAACCAATCAGAAGTGAAATAAAAATATTAACTCCAAGCTTTTTGATCTCTTAAAATACTACAAAAACTACTTGCATTATTTACATTACTTGGACTGTTATCCTCATCTTTATTTCCATATTCACAACGTCTCAGCCATTGTACATTACAGCTTTCTTCAGGTGATTGGAATTTCATCTGAAACATTGTGAATATGACAATGAAGGTGAGAATAACAGTCTGAATAATGTAAATAATGCAAGTAATTATAATACCTCATCTCAGAGATATAGACAGTTACTATAAAAACAGATGATTATTTTTTTTATCACTCATGATCAAATATTCATCCTGTGACTGAGATGTTGTAACCAGATCTTTTCACAGCCTTACATCAAAGATACTTAAAATAAGAGTTATGTTCCTCAAACACACATTATGAAGGAACAATTTTCATCAACACACACTTAGTAATCATCAAAACTTGTAGTAAAATGTAAATAAATAGGTTTAATGACAATGACCTTCCTGATGTCATCAGTTCTAAACTTGGACTGTTAATAACTTCAGACGGCAGCTTTTTAGAATACATCAAATATCTTCAATAAAACATATTGATACTACTTAAAATTTTAACTCAGGCTTTGTTTTGACATCTAAATTGATTGTTTAAAATTTGACAATTTTTTTTCAAACCAAATTTGAATTATTAAAGTTTATATGATTTGCTTTATAACTTCAGACAGGCAAAAACCAAATAATTATTTTTTACTTCAATAAAAAGGTAATAAAATCATCAAAAAATGATCAACATCTATAATAGAACACATAACAAACATATATGATAAGTCTTTGAATCCTTTACATTTTAATACAGTGACCTCTCAATAACAGCCAAAAGAAAGAATGAAAGAAGTGTAGAGAAAATGGGGTGGGTGATGTTTAGGGAAGCATGTGATGGACAGAATGGAATGGTTGTATGAAGAATAATGGCATGTTTAATTGGATCTCATGTTTTGGGTTCCTGATAAAATTAAAAGAAATAAAGATGTAACAGGAGATTTGTTTATTTTCAGATTTAATTCGACTATTTTGAACTAATTTTAAACAATTTGAGTATTTGGGTCCCTCTAGTTTGAGTAGGTCTTTTAAATTTGACAGGCCTGAATCAAGAGATCCCATTCAGATCTTGATGTATCTTTTTTATATACATATAGATTTTTTATGTAGCTTCATGTAAAAATATATTTCTTTTTTTTATAGACATGGGCAGTGGTTAACATATGTAATGAAGGGGCCCTCAAATTCTATTAGCCCAGGGGACTATCAACGCCTAAAATCCAGCCTTGGGAGGATTGCACAAGAATTATCTCTATTATATTCTATTACCCATTGATTTTGTTAATTTTTTTTACTTCAGCAAATTCAATTTTCGACATGTAGTTTTAATTGCTTCCCATCAGTGTGCTTTACTGTCATATTGCTTGCCACCTTCATATAATTTCATCTTCACAATTGACCGTAGATTTTTGCTCAGATTCAGATCAGGACTTGATGGAGGCCATTCCATTATATACTCTCCTGTAAATCTTTTATGCTCAAAGAATTCACAGGTAAGCTTAGATATATAGGAAGGAGCATTGTCGTGCATAAATACCCACTTCAATTTGAAACTGCGGGACTTGTACCATGCAAAGATAGTCTTGTTCATAAAATCACAATAGCACTATTCAGTTTAACTCTTTCATCAATCAATAATGGTTTGGTTGACAATTCCAGCCTATATCATAAGACTACCACTTCTTTGTTGCCTTCTTTTAGCCACAAGCACGTCTGAATTGGATAAAATCCATCCTTTGGCCTATCCATCAGGTCCATCAAATGTCACTTGAGATTCCTGAGTGAAAATTACTTTATAAAAGTCAATTTTCATGTATTTTTTGGCCCAATTTTGATGCTTTAAAACATTTGCTTCAGTGAGAGGTGTTTGCCTAGGAGTTTTTTTTTTATAGATCCCAATTCACATAGTATTCTACACCTTTTGTCCTTCTTGAATCCCTCAATTATAGCCTTTTCAAAGATCTAAGCATTAGTCAAAAGTTGTTGTTTCACTATAACTCACTTTAGTTTATCTTCATCTCAAGGAAGCAAGATCTTAAAGCCTTTTCCTTTGCTTCAAGTTCTCAACATATTTTCAACAGCCTTCTTTATTGCTTGATGATCTCTGAAAAGCTCCTTTGATATCTCCAATGTGGACATCCCCTTACTCAATAACTGTTATTTTCTGTTTTTCAGCAGTTCTTAGATCCTTCCATTTACTCATGTTTTAACATATATTATGGACAAAAAGAAAAATACTTTTTATTAGATTTCAGATGTCTTAAACTAATAATGGTTTAATCTGCATATTAACTTCAGTCAGTCTATTTTCACAAATTCCAAATATCTCAAAAACTAATCATTAAAAATGGCAGAAAATTTAGTTAAATATTTTACTAAGGGTGGAAATAGACACATTTCAATTTGACAAATATTAGTTCAGAGGTTTTTGAGTTATTGATATATATTTGATTTGCATAATAACTTCAGACAGTCTGTATGTTGATGACATAACTATTTACTCCTGTCTTAATGTTAAGTCAGATCAGTTTGATAAGGTCAAATTGGCAGCTCATCTCAAAAATTAACTGGGGCAAGGGATGGCTTGTTAATTTTAATGCCTCTAAAAATTGCTCTCACTTTTAATCATCTAAGAGACCCTTTTTTGCATAGCTGAAGCTAGCCTCCAGGAGAGGGTTTCCTTGCATCTTCTTGGTTTAATGTTTTCCACTGACATGAATTGGAAAGATTATATTGAACCAATTGCTAACTCTACTGCTCAGTAATGTCAGTTGACTGTGTCAGGCTAGATAATTTTTCTTGCCAGAATCTATCTTGCATATTTATAAGTTTATCATTCTTCCATGCATTGAATATTGCTGCCACTTCTGATGTTTC